AAGACCTTTAGAGATATTTTATTGAGTTCGGGGGGTAGATTATGAAAAGGGGAGGTATTAGCACCCTTTCCATCCATGGTTTTCCATGGGCTCTTAGTTGCTTGCTAGATCACTTGCTTTTGTTTGGAAAATATGCTTTATGTGGTTTTTGAACGTATTTTGAAAAGATGCCATCGTTTAGGCAAACTTTGTAATAGTTCTCGTTCGTAAGAACGTATACAAAGTGTTGAGCTTTTGAAAATGTTTAAAGTTTGGAAAGATGTTTGGAAAGTGTATGTGATTGTTTTAAAAATAGCAAGGATATTTGTTTTGAGAGTGAGCAAGTAACTAAAAGTAATCTACTTACTCAAAAGGTCTTAGATGTGCTTTTCCTACTCCTTTAGTTGTTGCTATCTTACCATTGATTTGGTAAGAAGCCCCATCGTTGGATGTGAAGGGACGGGCATTGGGTCACTGTATGACCATGATAGCAATGTTGTGAGATGACTTAGCATTTTTCTTTAGGGACTAAGATCATTTTGAAAGGCAACTTTGATAGCGTCATTGAGGGACTATGATCTTGTATTTTTTGATTTGTTTGTGCTAAGACACCCCACATGCATAACATGGCCATTTTGTAAGGCAACAAGTGGAATTACCCTAAGGGTGTAAGTGTGCGAGTGTATTTTGATTGCATGCATAACTTATCTTGAATTAGGGTTTTCTAAGCATTGATTTTAGTCTTGCCATACACACCTTAATTACTAACAATATATGAAAGCAATAAAAGTACGGAAAATAAAGATTCTACGCTATTAAAATCATTAGGGGGATGGGGTGTACAAATTTCAAATGGGAATTGCAAATTAAATCCTATGTTACTATTACAACCATATTGAATGGATAAGAATGTACAGGAAATGTAAAATGTTTGTCTCGTTTTTTTTAAAAAAAGAAATAAGTTTTATTTAAGAAAATATTTTTTTGTCTTTTTATGTTAAAAGAAAATATAATATGTGAATATGAAATATTTTTGGTATTTTTGATTAATGAAAAATAAAGATGATGGAAAAAATAATAAAAGAGAAAGAAAACCAAAATCAGCGCAAATGCATGAGAGTAGAAGAGGTCAGAAGTTCTGACTCTGAAGTGTTGCACAAACAGAAACAACGTTAGTAGAAATATGGAAGCTCAGAAGTTCTGGATCTTCTGAGAACTCAGAAGTTTTCAGAAGTTCTGATGCAACTGTCAGAACTTTGCCTCCCTCCAAGCTAGTCAGAACATCTGCAACTTAGTCATTTCTTAACAGAACAGAAGTTGCACATATAACAGTTATGACAAGTTTCATGAAATACCAGAAGCACAAATCAGAAGCAACATAGATTTTCTAATCCTAATTCTGAGTCCTAATTTCTTTATGAAACTCTGAACTGGGATTCCTTCTACTTAGGCAGGCAGATGCATGAAATTTCAGAATATGTACATCACCAGGATCAGAATATCTACATTATGTTAAATATGCAAAATCTGACAATGCCTAATTAGTATGATGAGAGTCAACAGAAAACTTACCTTGCAGCTGGAAAAGATTCTGTGAACTGGAGGTTGATCCTAAACTCTGGTGATGTTCTGAGCAACTTCTTCACGTACTCAGCAGGATGGAAGTTTGCAACTTCTGGAATAGCCAAGGGGTGATATTCTGACTTCTTTGAGGTGGAGGTGGATGGAGAGTGTATAGCAGTAGGAACACAGAAGTTAGGGTAACTTCTAATATGTGAATTAGCAACTGCATGGATGGCTTTAGTCAAGAAACATTTGGGGGGAAATGGAGTTTGAATGCAAGAATCAAATGCTAAGGTTTTGTGTTAATAGTTTTGTGGATTCTTGGAATTTTTGCAGGGGTTCAAGACTTTTCTTTCTCAAATTCCACACCTTTCTCTCAAATTTTTCCGACCTCTTTTCAATGGCCAAAGGTGTTCTATTTATAGTAAAAGGTTTTGTAGTTTGGAGGGGTCAAGTGGAACCAACATCATATGCTAGATGCTGACTTACTCTTGAAGTAAGCTTAAACAAGTGTGGTTCAATGCATCAAGTAGGATGGTTAACAGCGCCTAAGCTGGATTTGTCAGCATGAATTAAGGAAAAGTAGAAACAGCGCATGGGCCTAGCATACTTTTGCACAACAGTTTATCTTCCCAAGACAGTAGGGGTACACGTGGAGGAAATCCTTTGGATAACAACTCAAAAGTGGTTGTGAGCATTAAATGATGATGAGATTTATCAAATCAGAAATCCTGCCATGTGAAACTCTACATCCTTGTTTGACTCTGGATTAGAAGTTATGTTTCAGCGTAGCATCAAACCTTCTGATCCTCTTATCTTCTAACTCCAGCATGTTCTGAAGGAACTTTTAGACTTTCTAGAAAGCTTGCAGCACGCTTCTTAAACTTCTTTGAATTACTCTGGAAAACTCTAACTGAAGCTTTTGTGAAAACTTGCCCAGAAGTTCTGATCAAACTTTGTCTTGAGAATATCCAAAATTTGCTGAGTGCTTTAGTGATGTTTTGATCAGAAGTTCTGAAATTGTCATATTTCTTAAACTCTAAGAAAAATTTCTAAGTATTTAGAATTTGACTTTTCCAAAGTAAAACTTGACTTTTGAAATTCTTGATGAAACAAACTTCATATTCCAACATGTCTTGATGAAATATGATTTTTGAGATTTAATTTTTGATCCAAAAGTAAAAGTTAGACTTCTCAGTGTGCAAATGACCATTTTGCCCTTATGAGTGATTTTCTTGGAAAATTGATAGTTCAAGGCCTGGAAACTTGATAGAAGCAAACCTGGGATCCAGGGCGATCCCTTGTGAAATGAGAGGGAAAATTTTTGGGTACAACACATAGTCACTTTGCAATGCTATTTCTAAAGCTAAATAATCAAAGACTAACTGGATAATTTAATCAAACACTTGGGATGCAAGTGAATTTTCAAAATTTCTCTTTGAGTAGTGTTGATATATAAAACCTTTTATAATCAAAATTGATTATAAGCTATATCTACATCTATTTAAAAAACATATTTTGAGAGAAAAATTCTTACAATTCAATTACTATCACAATGTTATTTGATAAAAAGATTAATCAAATTGAAAGCAAGTAAAAGTCAAAAAGTAAAAACGCACAAGGAATTTGTCTACACAGTTCACCATTGTCGTCCTCGTATGTGGGTACGCCTGCGCCTAATTCTAATGGAATTAGGATAATTCTTATATGCAAAATGTCTAATACAAAGGAATAGTTAGAAACAACAATGCAAAATTCTACAATTTGATGTTGATGCTCCTTCTTCCATCATTTGGTCTTAAGAAAGACTAAATCAACCAATAGATGCAACATATTCGCCGCTTAAGCTACTTCCTTAAAAAGATTTCAAACACCCCAAGGTTACTTGAAAATATTTCAACCACCCCAAGGGATTTTTCACTCGATTAAATTCGATTGCACACTATCTACACAAGATCACCAATTTTATCATCCAATTTTTGCTACTTCCTTTAAAAAATTTCAACCACTCTAAGGTTCCTTGAAAAGATTTCAAACATCCAAGGGATTTTTCACATGGACGATTCCTTCTCGCACGATCTTGCACGAAAACCCTCAATTCAACAAATGATATTGGAGGACAAACCCGATAATTTTTCCAGATGAAGACCTCTACAAGAACTCAACCCAAACCAATTGGAAATCTTCAATTCTTCGTCTAGATGACACCCTGACGGAACATCATCAAAATGTAATGTTGGTGTGTATGCAAAGATTTAAAGGTTGAATATAAAAAGAAAAAGTAGGCTAATTTTATGGTATCATCAAGTTAGAAATGATGCATGAATGGGTATTTATAGTTTGAAAAAGTTTAGTGAAAAAAGGATATATTCAGAATAAAAGAAAATGAAAATTTGACCAAAACAATATTTATGTGTCGACCTCAAACTCATATGTGTCGACACATACTGTATAAAAAAGTTACATGTGTCGATATGAAGGACTTTATGTGTCAACCTGAGCAAGTCAATAGCTACAGACTTTAAAACATGAGTAAATGTGTCGATCTGAAATATAGATGTTTTGACACAAAATAAGAATTTCTTCAATTTCAGAAATCTTTCAGTATGTGTCGACCTGTATGATGAATGTGTCGACCTGTGACTTAAAGAAGCTCGCAGGCTTTAAAATGCAGTTACATTTGTCGTCCTGAAACTCGGATGTATCGACATGTGCAAGATAAAAATGTGCAGAAAATGTTTTTCAATGATCTTGGTCAATTTCAAAGTACTTTTTGATAATTCCTAAGACCTATGATGCAGAGGAGTGTCACAAGACAAAGAGATGCAATTAATTTTACCGTTGTGCCATCTTTCCTATGAATAAAGCTTGACATGAATATGACCTAATATTATAGGTCACGCCTTGAAGTAAAAGCTCTTTTGGACCACTTGTTGACAAAAATTTGACCTTGAGAACCAAAATCCTAATTTAGAAATCAAGCTTGATTCTTTGATTGCAAGTCCCTACCTTGTACAATAAGAAAAGAGAACAACACATATTTGAAGTGAAAGTTCTTTCACTGTTTACTCAAAAGTTGAACTTATGACAATCATCAACTATTTTTGTATTTTTTTTTCATGCATTCATAAAAGATAGTTTTTCAAATCAATCTAAGTTATTACACTCTCTGTGAAAACGATACTCTTACTTTTATCACTTGCTACTATGGACCGTGTATATTTATAAGTTATATAGCTTTCACCCAACAAAAGGGTAATGAAAAAAGAAATGTAAAATAAAAAAAGACCAATTGAATTACATTAAAGATATGCATCCATTTCATAGTAACAAACACAAATAGAAAATAACTTAGTCTAACCATAACATTATTAAATTAGGACAACTATGCAGATGCAGCTATGTGGACGGAAACATAGAACATGTATATTGAAATCAAAAAACATATAATTCTTATATCAGATGCATCTTTTACTAACTTTGACCTTTAAGCCATGTTCCATGCGAAGAACAATAGAAATCTTTGGTGTTACAGATTGACTTTCCACAACATGTATGTGAAACCTCCATAACATAGCAGCTGCAACCATTTTCATTTGAATAAGGCTAATACCTTTTCCAATACAACTTCTTGGACCTGCATTGAATGCTATGAACTTGTAAGATGGCACATGTATAATATGTCCATTATCTGATATCCATCTCTCTGGCTTAAACTCCAAGCAATCCTCTCCCCATATTTCTTCCATCCTTCCCATTGCATACAAAGAATATATTAACTTTGTATTTGGACTAACATGGTGTCCACTAGGTAGTACATCAGATTTGACTGCACACTTGTGCTCAAATGGCACAGGAGGATAAAGCCTTAAGGCTTCACATATAGCTCCATGAAGATAAACTAATTTATCGAGTTGTTCCGTATTTAAATTCGTAATAAAATTCTCCTTTTGTGCTAAATAGTTATCTTTGATCTCTTGAACAATTTTAGCTTCCACAATAGGATGAGTTGAAACAAGCCAAAAGAACCAACTGAGACCTGAACTAATTGGTCCATCTCCTGCAGCCAAGAGATTGAGTGCAGTGTCTCTAAGATAATGCTTCTTAGACATTTCATCATTTTTCAAGTCTCTTTTCATTAATTCTTTTAGCAAGCATGGATGATATTCTTCCACACCAATATTTTTTTCAACTTCCGAATAAGTTATACACTTGTACAAGAATTGGTGAAGATTTTCTCGAGCAACCTTTCTCTTCCTTTCTTGACCTATTTGAAGCCATTTTTGTAACTTCCAAATACATTTTGGAATACAGTGTCTGATCAAATGCGTATCATCAAGCACAGAAATTGCTTTCATATAAGCAACATCTGCAAATTCATTCAAGTTGTAAGGAAGGGAATTTGGATCAAATCCAAATAAAAAGGTACACGCGATGTCAAAGGTGAACCTCTCAAGAATATCTTGTAAATCAATTACTTGTACACCTTCGCATGAAAGATCAAGAAGTGGTAATAGGCAATTCTCTAGCTTCTTTTGAATGTTATTTTGATGGAAAATCTCAAAGCTTTTCCTTTTAAGCAATGAATGAAGCAGTGCCCTCTCTTGTTTCCATTCATTGGAATCCAAATTGAATATACCAACGCCGAAAACATCAAAAATCTCAGGGAAATCAGATCCTTTCCCATAGTTGCTAAATTTTTTGCTGGTGATGTGGTGCACATTCATGGGATCACAGGTGATGATAATATTGGCCATGTTTGTGAGCCAAGGTCCTTTAAAATGAAACGTGCTTCCATATTGTTTGGAACCTAAGGTTAAAACATCATAAAAATTTGATAGATTAAGAAGAATTGATGGTAGCATGCCAATTATTGGCCAATTTGTTGGAGGAAGACTTTTGGTACGCCTCCATATTTTGTAGAATGTGATGAAGAAAATGGCTAGAAAAAATAAAATGTATTGATGCAAGATCATTGTACTTAGGCTAAAGAGCATGTGATTCAAATTGTATATGTGAATGATATGTTACTCAAACTTTAATATGAGCATGCATCAGTTGCCCTTTCCACAATGACCAACCAACCTTTATAGGACTACAAATTTATTTCTATTACCTATAACTCACGTGCAAACGTGCTTTACGTGTCAGTAAAAAATTATTTAAATTAGTTAGTACACTTTCGTTTTATTTGATGTCGTTAAAAAATTAAAAATTTTGTCAAAATTAAAATATCAATAATTTGTCAATAGATAGAGAATGAAAATAAAATATATATATATATATATATATATATATATATATATATGGAATTAGTTCTAGATAGACTTATTATCGTATCGAACAAGACTCGTGCAGATTCTTATTAATATATCAATTTTAGAATTGGGGAGAATCCATCACTAATTTTAAATAAAAATACATTGAGTCACTCACAAATATTGGCGTCTAAGTGGGACTTAGGTAAAACTAAGCTCGCTCACATCAACATTTTCATCATAGACCGCCTTAATTCTCACGAGTTTTTCACGTTGGTTCTAATTTTGAGATAATATACTCCTTTTCGTTTTTTCTATATATCTCAAGAGTTAGCTGACTTAAGGTATGAAGTTTCTGGCGCGTCAAAGATTGTGCATAAGTACTCTGACACATGCACAAAATACATTAAAAATACATAAGAAATCACTTAGTATGATCAACTACAACTAAGCGAAAAACCATGAAACATAACATTACCTCTAATTAATCTCAACATTTATACTAAAATCAAGTATTAAGGGGCTAAATATCTCACAAATAAAGAGATATTGCTTCTAAAATTTGAAACTTTAGATATGAAGTTGTTATCAATCATTAAGAGACTGTCATAACCGATCATATAATGGATTAAGCTTAATATATTTGATTAAGATACTAATCTTATCGACTATATAGTTAAAAAAATTCTCGTTATAAAGGTGACAATCCTTTAATTAACTAGCTAGACCTTTAAAACTATGAAGTCAAACTTCTCTATGATGCATATGTTTTGATGAAGACAAATCTATTAGTAACAAGAATGAAAATATGATCTTAAAAGATAAAGCATCATGATTCAAGAATTTGAATTCAAACTTTTACATTTCAAGAAGGTATAATGACAATAGTCATCTTCACTAAAGTCTTAGATGCTCAAGTAATCAAACACTCATTGGATAATTTATTCTTGGTGATGACACTGTGTCTTAGGCATATTTTTCAAGTTTTATTGTGTGTAAATCAATTTACATCTTGGTGCAATGGATTTGTCCATGAAGCTTCCTAATTTTTCTTTTGCAAAAAATTAGGTTTTTGCCTTTGTGCAATAAATTTGCATTGTTGTGCAATAGATTGCATGCTGACAGTTTTATGTTTGTGCAGTCGATTGCAATATTATGTAAAGCGATTGCATGTTGTCAATTTTTGAAAAATGTTAACGTTGCCTTTGTGTAATCGATTTCCACCTGAACGAAATTAAAAAAACAATAACTTTTTCACACCTCTTCATGGACCACTTCATAGAACCATTTCATTTCATCTTGGCATTTGTTCATGGTATTTTTGCATAACTTTACCATGTTTCATAAAAGTGTTATGCACTTATAAATACATCAAATTTCAAATCATTTCTCACCTCTTCCAATCAAATCTCTTAAATTTTCATAATTCACATTTCAAGTTGCCAACTTTATTCAAGTTATTTTCTGCATATTTCTACAGCATCTAAACTAGAAAATACTTGAGCAATCTAACACATTAGTGTTTGTGAATCATTGTCATTAGAAGTGAAGATCAACTATATTGATATATCACTTAGAGTGATAATTATACCATAAACATTCTTATTCAAAAACTCATGTTGTATCACATCTTATTTTTCCAGGATTATTGGAATTAATATTGTGTGAAGTGTATTACTTGTTTTCTTTTTCTACTTGGTTGGTTGTAATACCTTGTTGTCTAGGATAGTTGGAAGCAAGAGAGTTGAGTTTGATAGAAATGTTCTCATTTCAACTTTGTTGGTTAAGGTGTTGTTGCCTTGGTTATTGGTTAGAGTCTTGGATAGAAAGACTAGGTTGTCTTGTTTAGAGATCTAACAATAAATAAAAAATTTTCATGTTGAAAGGGGACTGGAGTACCTTCGGATTGTGAGGGAAACTAGGATACATCCTTGTGTTTTTTACTTTTCCGCATTTACTGCTTTCATCTTAAATCATAACCAAAAAAGAGAGAAACACATTTCTAAACTCTTAACATCAAACCAGAAATATAAGAACAACTTGTTTCTAAAAAATGGATAATTTTTAAATTCCAAATTCACCCTCCCTCCTCTTAGTTGCACTCTCAATACTAACAAGGTGATAATCCTTTAATTAACTAGCTAGACCTTAAAAACCTTTTTAGGTGATTTTTTAAGTAAAGAGATGATCCAAAGGTGATTTAACTGTGTGTGTGTATGCGTATACGCGCGCGCACTTGTGTGTGTGTGTGTGTGTGTGTGTCTTAGGAGTTACTCTCATAATTTTACAACACTCTGGTCACCGAGATATATGCGGCCAAATGAGCATACTAAAAATATTTAAGACGACTTGCATATCAGACTTTCAAGGTTAGGAAGGTGATAATGAGGTTAAAGTGGATCGGGGACAGCATCCTGAAGTCAGATCCTACTAGTAGGCTTACCTAGTCAAGAATGCATTAGTCGGACATGGTTAAAACTGAGGAGAATTGGATGATGAAACCCGAGTAGTTCCAAGTCGGGTAAAGTCGACATCTCATAACGGCTCAACAATTACGAATACATGAAGGGGCATCTAGAAGCGTTACATGGGATAATAAACATCCTAAAGTACGACGGTGGTAGTTATGATCTCATTAATATGCAGGAAATATAAAGGTTACTCTTAATGAGGTCAAGTCATAAAATTAGAGGTATAAATAAGGCTCCCACCAGAGCGATAAGCAAGACAGCCTTCTTGAGCACACATTAACCATTACAGTGTAGCTCGAATCCCTTAATCTTTGCAACCATTTCTGTCAGACCTATATAGGGTATCGCATACCTTATATATATAAAGTTATAACCTCACTGGATTAACTTCTAGGAGGTGGTCGAAACATGTTTTGCATGAACATTTGGTGCTCAACATGGGGCCTAGGTAAAACACTCTTAGGCCACACCATTGTCTACCCTTTTCGTTCTCAAAAATGTCAGCGACGTCTCCTACCGGTGAAGATCCACCACCGGATATGGCTCAATTGTTAGCCATGGTAGAGGTGTTAAGGCAGCAAAATGAAACTTTTCATGATAGTGTTCAAACGTTATAGACTCAAACATTGTGGGATAAGGGCGTGCAGGAAGCCTTTGGACCATCAACCATTAACAGAGGTTGTATGGAAGGATGTGGTATTGGAGAACTTCAAACCGCAATTATTAGAATATTTCGATGGTAAAAGTGATCCTCAGGAGCACATCATCTCATCAATTATCAAATGGAAATAGTCAGAGCCTCCTACTCCTTGGAATGGAAGCATGAGGCCGAGACATTCAAAGATGTCGCCCTAAGGTGGTATATGATTTTGCCTAGGTTTTCCATCACATGTTACCAAGACTTAACTCGCAAGATGGTTAAGTATTTTACAGCCAGCAAGCATAAGAGTTGTCCACCACTAGCCTATTTAATGTACGACAGGGTCCTTCAAAGTTCATTCAAGAATATATGGAAAGATTTAATGAGCAGGCCATAAAAGTTTACCATCCAAATCAAGAAATGTTCGTGGGGGATTTCCATAACGGTCTGAGTGCACAAGTCATTTCAATGAATCTTTGGCTCACAAATCAGCCTCGAACATGGAGAAAGTTATGAACCAAGCTAAGTGCTACATCAAGGACGAATAAAGTAACATGGAAAAATGACACTAGGATGGCAAGGAGAAGCTGTAATCTAAGTTGGAAGGAAAGCCATCTAGGAGAGAACAACAAAGATTCCCATCCCGGGAACAAAATGCACGACATCGAAACCAGAGGCCGCTCATCGACAACCCAGAGTCTTTTAAACCTCAACACATAGAGAGAAGATATATTGTGTGAGGGGGATCATCTAGGTCTAATAGTCAAACCGCCTCAGCCTTCGGGGGTCAACATGTTGTCGAGAAGGGAAGATGGTATGTGGTGATCCTTTCACCGCATGAAGGGACATCATACGGAGGATTTCCAACAACTAAAAAGGGAAATTGAGATACTCATCCATTGCAGCAAACAGTTGTCATATGTGAAGGATGATGGGGGGATCCATGAGGAAAAAAAGTCCTTCTCATAAGGAGACAGGTTTCAGAAGATTCACATACCAAGAAGGGAAAAGCTTCTGAGGACATGCGTGAAACATGTGTATCACGCCATACCTTGATCGTTATTTTTGGGGGCTTTGTCGAGGGCTAAGAAACTAGTTCTACAAGGAAAAGGTATGTGCAGACAATAATGCATGTCTCACAAGACATGTCATACAAGTCAGAGGAGTTGAGGCTGATGGCTGTGAGTTTTTCAAAGAGGGACTCAAGGAACATACTATCCCACGAGAACGACCTGATAGTGATAAAATTTTAGATACACGAATGAAGTTTTAAGCGGGTGTTGATCGATCCAGGAAGTTCCGCTGACATCTTGTACTGGGACACTTTGAAAAGCATGGGTGTTGAAGCCTCAAAGATG